AATAGAATTTTCGACGGCATGCCAGCACACTGATTACATTTGTTGATAACTTTCGATCACAAATAGAAATATTCATCAGGAGAAAATGTTCCAAACATTTCTTAAACGTGCAGATCATCAAATTTCAATCACACAAGGCTATTGTTACTAATACGCATATACAGTCAATGGAACAAGTATTGGCAACACCCACACAAGCTAAATAAAATTGGCTATAACTTTGGCATGCATTATCAAATTAGCATGGAAATTTGTACGCATTTAGCAAATCCAATGTAGTGTTCGATTATAATCATGTTTCTGATTTAAATCTAGTAAACATAACACAATCCTGATTATGACCCCAACGAGTCAGATGCAAACCTGCAAAAAGTATTGGCAACATGTGGCCAAATTAATTACTCGAAACAATTTTATTAACCATCTTCCACATTTCGTTACGGTAAGTTAATTAGGTGACAAAATATGAGGTTAGCTACATTTTAAGTCTACAGTTATGTTGACTGGAGCCAAAATGGCGACACCAAACGAGCTGTATTTGGCGCGGCGAGAAATAATCATGTCTCTTTCATAAAAAAGCTTTACTATCGAAAAATCAAAGAGAAAACATACTTTTCCATATTTACTATTGAATAGGTAGCAAAGAAATATAAAATGACAATCTCAGTTTCTACTTTTCCATGATGCGGAAGAAAAAAGTCATCTACGCCCAAAACCTAAGGATGACTCAAGCAACGAACCACTAGAGAGCGGAAGATTTCAGCTTCCAAATCCATGTTAAATTGGAGTATCAACTGTAGGGTCAACATATCATACAATATGGTGATCAATCAAAAATTATGCCTTGGGGTTTCAGGCTCCAGAAGCCCGACCGAAGCGAGAGTACCCAAAGCGAACCACCTCAATAAATCGAAATGGGCTAAATATCACCCTAAATAGAGTTCCGATCAATGAAAAAGGGCCTACTGGTCCGACATAGGCATATTTTACTTATTCGGAGCTCATTAATTGGTTCAAGTCTGTCGGATGCAATAAAAGGCTCAGAAATACTAAAACGTTCGTATGGGAGTTTAACACATAGGAGGATCGATTATAGTTTGGGGTCAAATGACAAGGTGGCGGCGTGTTGACCTGGTCATTATCGACAAAATTATGACCAGGAAGGTGTTGTCAATCATTCCAAACGATAATTTGAAATCATTTAACAAAAACCTGACCTAGGAAAAAATTTCATATTCCAAAAATGCCGTGACCCCAAACATGTAGCCAAATTAACGATGCAAGTTTTCTGAGACCGAAAAGCTTAAGATTCTTTCGTTGGCTGCACAGTCTCCTGATGTGATTCTGATTGTCCGGGTTGAGAAAAGAGAGACCGATGGGAAACCACTAGTCGAAAAACGAGCTTGTCAAAAGTTTAAAAGAAGTGTGGGCAGCCATTTAAAAAAACGGTATATAGGAACTTGTCGAATAAATTCCACAGCCTAGTTCTGCTCTTATTGTGTCGAGGGGAGGTGCCACGTAATACTAGAAGCACTTTGTCGCAGTAAAATTGGCATTTCGTTGCTCTATGATTTTTTAAGTTACAGGGTGCCAATACTTTTTGTGGGTTAATTTCGCAAATTTTCCGGCAAATTATTTAAAAACTGCGTTAATCTAATTTTAATCAGTAAAACATGATTATAATCGAAAACTACATTAGATTTGCTAAATGCGTACAAATTTTCATGCTAATTTGATAATGCATGGCAAAGTTATAGCCAATTTTATTTACCTTGTGTGGGTGTTGCCAATACTTGTTCCATTGACTGTATGTATTATTATATACAGGGTTACATTTGTATTTGAATATAAAACAATTCACCCATAACTACACAAAAACTACCCAAAACCTATGTATGTATCCACCCTGTAATTTCCATGTATGTACTCGGATGAGACATCGCATGACGGGATAACCTTTACTTGCTTATTTAATCGAAGAATAACACATTAATAATATTCGAGTTAAATTCTCATTTCGAACCTAGAATTTTCGTCAACAAATTTCTCCCCTTGCAATCCACACTCCCTGATAATCTTAAAACCCACGCAGTTTTCTTCAAATTAAATGTTTCCTTAATTGATATATTCATAAGTACTTATGTATTTCCTGTTGTTTATATATGTTTAGCCGTCTAGGAGCATAATTTCCTCCAAGAAAGGAAAATACGAATCATAAAGTTTAACAAAACAATTCCGCAATAAGTACCCTGATTACTCAATTACCTTTGGAAACTTTACGAATTCCTGTTTCAAATTATGAAATTTAACTTCACCCGCTTATTGCATGTAAAATTTGAAAACAGTTCAACTCGTTGAACAACAAACATATTATCCAAAAACTTAACACTTATAAAACTCCAACAGAAATCTAGATTCATGCAGTATAATCATTTCCCACATTGTCTATGCCGCTTGCTCACCCTACGAAATTCAGCCAATAAAACCATAACCAAAACTGCCTGGCTAAAACCCTTTAAAATGAGTGTCCTGTCTTATTTTAAATTTTCCATATCTTGTATTCTTACAATTTACTGTATGAATACTGAATTATTACTTTCAGCGACAAGTGAACTTACTAACCAAAAAATCCCACACAAATTCGACCCAACTTATACTAACTATTACGTCGAAATATTTGAAAATTGTACCAATATTATAATCGTTTACAAAAATCAGGACATAAAGCTTGAGCGAACTCCAATTATCTTACGAAATACAACCGGTCAAGAAACTGAAGTACTTGAAACCAGGTTATCCCTACAGAGACGTATAAACCCTGCTCGACATTGCTGGGCTTTGTTTGACCTGCTTCCTGGCAAAGGCGTTATGCAGGATTATTATTATTCTGCTTCAAACTATATTCTCAAACCATGGTTTGGTCAAAAATTTTTGATTTTAGTAACCAACTTTAAGCCTAAAATTGAACAAAATTTACCAAAGTGGGAAGTTAGAACAGTGGATTTCCGACTGCTTGACATATTACTTATTGAAATCTGTCCAATTCCAGGTTCAGTTGTTAAAGCACTGCACTTGAAATATTTTAATACTTATCATACCGAAGGTTTATTAGTGATTGGTAAATCCTCACAAGTGTGGTACACGATAGAATGTTTACCCCATGCGGGTTCCGACTGTTTCAACAAAGCTCAGATCATTTCGAAACGTGTTGACCAGCTAAGTAAATATTTTATGACGACGGTACTGTTTCAACGTAAAAAGGATATAGAGTTGAAGGTTAGAACGTGGTATGAGAAAGGCTCCAAACAAAGGAATCTTCATGAAATTGTAAAACTGATCAAGCCAACCGAATTAGCCTCATTCTGGTCATGCGTCGGAATATTCTAGTCTAAACATCACGCCTCGTCATCTTGCCCCCTCACCGGTGGACAATATTAATAAACAGTTTACCTTTGTTATGGGAAAGATGTCAAGCTTCAGTTTCGTATCTTGTTATAAGGTAAAATCCGACATGTTTATTCTAAGCGGATTAGCCACTCCATTCGACGCTACCTCGTGGATTAGTATTCTTTTTATGGTTACTGTTATGGCACTTATTTTGACATTGCTTCGTCGATCCTCTAGGTCAGACGGAATCTACGTTATGATTTGCTTAGTTCTAGAGAACTCAATTCCGTGGAATATCAAATTATTTGAGGAACGGTTTCCGCCTAAGTCAAGGGTATTCGGGGTACGCGTATTACTCGGGGTATGGATTCTAACGAGTGGATCATGCCTAACGAATTGGTACAAGACATCCTTCACGATGGATATGATTGTACCCGCTCTTTATGCACCACCATGGGAAACATGGCTAGATATTGAGGGAATGGAGGCACTTCTTCCCTTTAATATGTTCGAGTTTTCGGAACTGGAGCCCTCGCCTCCATATCTCTTCTTTGGCCAGCGGATGTATGACAAATTCCACAAGTCTATTAGGTAAGTTGATTTTACAAAGGATAGTACCAACAGAGCTGACAGAGCATGCAAATAAGTAAATACATCTTTAGGAATTAGTACTTGTTACAAGATTTGGGGGCACATTTAGTGCTTGAGAACTTTTTACCCAGTATTATGAAGTCATAGTCATGAATAATTCCGGCCACCGTGCAGTAAAACGTTAGAATTTTTTTAACTTTCAGACAGAACGAGTTTATACAATTGCTTGCAACTTCAAAACTCTAAATGTACCGGATCATACCGCCTTTACAAATACTCAAAGGCGTATTAACTTCTTTTCTATTCTGCAAATATGAGCTAAATTGATCATCTTCGACTGTGACCGATCTAAATTAGAGTTAATCGTGACACCTTTACAATTTAGGTTTAAGGAAATTGCGAAAATTATGGAAAACATGATGCTCGATCCCACATACACGCAAATGCTTCCTATCGATAATGGAAGCGTGGAAGCTTTTGGAACCCGACTCGAAAAAATGGTCCGCATCCATCTAATTGCACATTCACCCGTCAAACCGATCGAATACAGCGAAACGGCTCGACTTGTAGAGGAATTGTCAACTTGTGGGAAAATAGCGTTTATCGACACGACAGGAAACGTGGCCTCACTCCTACCATTCCTGAATGATAATCCGGACAACATCAAATACTTGAGTGGAATAGAGCCTTTTTTAAAGTATCTCGTGGTTGGGAAATTTATCCAGTTCGTGGTAACTATGTCGAGAGAAGGCTACGGATTATGGTATCATCGGGAATTTATGGTCATTGGGAAAATTGGTTTCGTATCCTTAAGTAGCCACAGTTATTTCATCTCTATGCAAATTGGACTTTTCCAAAATTTGATGCTGTATCACAACTAAATTACAATTCTAAAGTTGTCACGGGATTCTATATTTGTGGGATTTGCTTTGTTGGCTGCTTTCTTTGTCTTGGCTATGAAATATTATCAAGAAGGTTAAACGCGGTACACGAAATTATTAGTTAGTTGAAACAAGGTATAGTGACGATTAATTACTTGAGTTTGTATTTAATTACTGATTACTTTTTTTGACTCGACGAAAGCAAGTAATTTCTAAATTGTACATTCTAATTGTGTAATTCGTTACCCGATATCACTTATATCAGTCGGGTAATGAATCAAAATTACCCCTTCATAATTAGTAATTAATTACATAGATGAAATTTCAATACACATACAATTTCAATATACATACATAATTATGCAGATATTTAAATATACCGAAGGATTGTAATTAAAAATGAAGATGTGAATTAATCTACATATTTTACCAATAACTCAAATTAATAAAAACATGCATTATTCATATCGGGAATCTAAGTAACAACCGACCTAATCTTAGTGATGGTCTCAAAAATACACAATACGCATACAAATTTTAAAATAAGACGGTTTAATTACATTTCGTACTTAATTAATTTCCCTGAAATTGATCTGAAGTATATGAGTAATTAATTACTAATTATAATTGCATTACCGTCAAACTCTAAATTTCCCGTGTAAAATATCATCATATATTTCACTCCGCATTGGAATGTATTTTCCACCCTGTAAAACGTAAAGTAAATCCCCATTCATTAAAGCCGAACTGAAGCCTGCCTTCCGTAGCTCCATTTTTTGCAGTTTGAAGCTTCCTAAAATACAATTAAATCAATTAAATTAAATAATCACCAATTTTAATACGATTCAATCAAACTACCCGTCGTTTCCAACTCGTTTCTCATCACGCGGACGAACACTGGTCGTGCGTATGGCGGGAGATAGCGAGCCAATTCTCCGTGCAGATTTGAAATGTTTAGTCCACCATTGATATCACTTATGGCAACCATTCCACACTTCCCATCCATTCCAGGAATACTTACGCCAAACGCGGCGACACCATTATTGACCCCGATCGCTTTTCCGACACCTTGCTCCACTTCTAACGTCGATACGTTTTCCCCTAAGGAAAACGTGATTGATTAATTTAGTTAATTGTTTGCTTGATTGCTATTCTCTCAACCCTTTTATATCTTCTAACCAATAAAGTTAAATCAGAGAATAGCAAAAACATAATATCACAGCATTACAAACTTGAAATCCTCGACTGAAAAAATTTTGCGATTTCATTAAACGTTCCAAGTAAAATGTGTCGATAATAATTTGAATCAACGTATTATTTTCTAGTCACTGCCCATGACTACCTTATAATTCATCTTCTACATAATTAAACTGTCGGCTTCAAATCTTATATTTTTATAATAAAAGTCTCGTCACTTATTTCCATACCCTTCCATCTGAACGAATCCCCTGTCCTATCCTTGAAATAGACGTATCCAAATTTATCCATCGTAAAGGTGTCGCCCGTTCGGAACCATTTGTCCCCCAGCTGCTTCACACCCTTCACGATATTCCCTTTGCTTTGAGTCTCATCCGTGTAGCCGCTGTAGTCCCGGAATGGATTGGATTTCACAATTTTCCCCAGCAACTCTCCCGCTTCTCCTTTCGGGGCATGTTGCACCAGCCCTGTGGTTGGACTAATTCGCCTTCGCTCGATACCCGAGCAAAGAAGAAGGGGAGGAAGGGGTAAAGTAGGATGGGCAAGTAGCCCGCCGTGCCAACGTGGGGTTCTGCATTCACTGCGGTACAAAATTACACACTTTACAATCTTGTTCTTATAATGTGCTCTAGTAACTATGTGACACGCTGAATGAAAACAATAAGTTAATCAAGCAGAGTTGATGTCCACGTCTCAAAAACGTCACTTTACAACATCGCATTTACAGTGTTTGCGAAATCGCTTTCGTAAGCGAGTTACTCTTCATGAAAATACATCAAATAAAAACGAGCGAAGTATGTAAGATTTCTCTTGACGACAAATTTTACGAAAAATACATAGTTTATCACGATAATCGATGCCTTATCGACGCAAATTTTGTACAAACAATTGTGATGGGCTATTACGCCGCATTGCGAAATGCATTAAGGGTTACGAATTGTAGCCCTTCGAAAAAAATCGCAAAATTGGCAAGTAGGGTCGCGAAGGCGGATTTTATGAATTTGACGTGAGTGAATACCCCCAATGTCCAAGTCGCAATCCAACATAAAATTGACCTAAATAAAATCCCTTGAAAAATACTAAAAACAAACAAAATCCAGTCAAAATGCAATTTAAAATTTTCCAAACTCTACTCGTTTTCTAAAATTTATCCCAAATTACGAACCAACTCTTTTATGCAAATATAAGGCGGTAATGATAATAAAATCATAATTATTTTGAAGTAACATTAAGTTCCAAAAATTCGACTCACTAGTTCCACAATTTCCTTCCGTTGATCCATACAATTCTTTATGGTGTCAAATCTCTCCACGAATCTCTTCCAGACCACGGGATTCGCCCCGTTCCCATGAAATGTGTGCACTTTATGCAACTTTTCTTCCCTCGTTGGAGGCTGATTCAGCAAATATCTGCGCGCGCAATTCAAAAAGTTACAACAAATCCTTCAAAAATGCCCTTCATTTCTGCTTACCGCAAAATTTTGCCCAGATATTGGCAGCATGTCACGTCGTGTTTGACACATTGTTTCCAAAAGTTGGAGGCCGAAAACTTGCGAATAATGACTTGCGGAACGCCATGGTACAGGGGCAACCCCACGACGAGCAGACCTCCTTGCACGTGGTACAGTGGGATAGGCGTGAGAAGCACGTCCCTGTCTGGGTTCAATTCCAGGCCGAAAATTGGAGTCGCAAATGTTGCCAAACTGTGAACAATACATAACACAGTGCAATGAATTTACAACGATCTCAAGCCATCAAAAACACCTAAACAAATGTTGAAATTAAATATTTCTCAAACCACTGAATTTCCAAATTTTGACCAGATATACAAATTAAGCAATTTGCTTGCTTGTTCAGAATTACTGAGTAATTAAGAAAATCTACCGCTCAAAAACTTATAGTTCTTAACAGCTGAAGGTCTTCCGCAATTTTTGAATTTTTAAACAGCACACAAAATTTTTAGAAACGTATTTTTAAGCAAGAGATTTTTAGCAAATACAGATTTGCCCTTCAACGTGGGTAAAAATTCGGAAGGTACTTGGAAATCTACATTTTGGACAAAAATTTGCTGAACATATTCCGACAAAAGCGAAAACATGCCCATTCAGGAAACCCCAAAAAGTAGGGGCCCTCAACAATTTCAAGTGAGTCTGGTCTAAATCCGAGGTAATAAACTCATAGTGAAGCATTTTTAGTTGCTAAAACGGCCACCAGATTCGGATCCGGACGCAGTTTTAATTTTATCAATTTTATAAATATTTCAACATTTCCTAGGTTCGAAGTGTTGATGTATTCTTAATAATTCTTTACCACCCAAATGTACCCAATAAATACAGAGGGTGTCCGCAGTTTATATGAACAGTATGACTTACCTTATAACTTCTGAACACGATGACTGTGAATTACTTTAGCGATCTCAATGTGTTCTCCATTCATCTTAGCAACAAGTCTGAGTCTTGGTTTATAACTTCCAAACACATTTTGACACATTTCAGGGGAGATAAGATCCCATTCTTGATTTAGAACTTTCCAAAGCCCAACCAAAGTTCATGACTTCTTCTTGAAAATGCTTTGTTTCAGGCATCCAAACCCGAAAAAATCCATCTGACCGGTTCCAGATTACTGAATATGGACCTCGGAATAAGATGTCGTGGTCACTCCGATTTTTTTGTTTAAATCTTGGGCGTCATAATGGGTAAACTCTGCAATATATAAAAATGTTGTGTTGTGACGACTGCAAACTTTGTCGAGCTCCCCAAAGGTACTTTTAAGCAATTTCGAGATCCAAAAACTTATGTAGAACATTGTCCATGAAGTACTTCGACTTTATTTTCACATTATACCACACAATCAATGCTATCAACGGTATCAATGCTAGCACTCCACGGGCCGTCAATGTACAAACCACCAGGAATCAGTCAAACAACTTTTCCTTCTTCTCAGACCCATAGTTTGAAACATGCTTCCGGTCCTTTATGCAATAAATTATTTTTATCCAGTTGCAGTTTTGAATGCAGCAGAGTGCCCCCTCCAACGTGACGACAAATTCGGAATTTTTACTCCCAACATGACCCTCAAACAGCCTCCGACTGTTAGTTTTTTGTTTACAACATTGGATAGTTTTAGTGTTCCGAATTTCGCCTTCCTAAGGACTGCTTTTTTCAAAGTTGTGATTTATAACACGATTAACGTGTTCAAGAGGCATCTGGGATTGTGTTGTGGCCTTAGTTTGGTCGGAGGATTCTCATTGAGAGGGAGGCGGTCATTTTGCTTTAGGGTGGGATAATTCGTCGTTTTGAGGGGTATGCATTTTTAGATATACATTGGTCGGATTTAACTAATAATCTTCGTTTTCTAGCAAAATTGATGAAGGGATATATGGGGGACACGATAAGATGGGTTTCAAATTTTTGGATAATCGTTTAGGTACTTTCCGGGGCCAAATTAGCTTCGGAAACCGCTTTTACGGTTCCCCCACTTTGGGGTCACTTTTTGGGGCCACCTTTGCAGATAGAAATTTGAAACTTTGCGCAGCTGTTGTCATGAACTTCAAGTTCATGTGTGCCAAATTTGACGCCAATTGGATCATCCGTTCGCATGTTACCCATGCAAATGTGGTGTTCATATAATCTACGGACATCCTGTACATAGATATGTACACCCAATCAACAAATATTCCATACCGACTATGTTTCATCTTTGCCGCTTTTGCACGCCCCGTCGTTCCCGAGGTAAAAACGTGCAATACAACATCCTCACTTCCCACAATATCGGGAAACTCTTCACAACACAAGTCATCCTCACTGAAGAGTCCCATCTCTCGAGTTAAATTGACATGACCATGAGTTAAAATATCCTTTGTGGCCATCCTGTCCGAGACGGAGTACAGTGCTGTCACTCCAGCCGGAATATTTTCAGAGGGATCATTCGAATCCAAGCATTCTTGAATTGCTGTAAAACAATAATAGTAAATTAAAGTAATTACCTAAAACCATTAATAAATGGTTGCTATAAAACTCTTGCTTAATAAATTACGACGTAATTCTACCATAAAACTAAAGCAATTAGTGAGATTGACCTTCTTAAAAAACAACCAATATTTATTATGTTGATATCCTAAATTTAAAAAAAAGTAAATTTACCCACGGTTGAATAAAAGAAAGAAAATGAGGACATCACAACAAGTTCGTATAGTTAATAAAACTATTGGGTCACCCTCTTTTTTGTTCAGGTTGGATTTATTTTTACTTCGATTTATTTAGGGGTGAAAGCCCCTTTATGGAAACGTCTTGTCTGTCTGTCTGTCTGTCCGTCCGTCCGTCTGTCCGTCTCCACGATAACTTTAGAACGGATTCGAATTTCGACATGCGGTTTTCGCCAACTTGTTTCTAATTTTTGAGGACGGGATGAGTACGAAGATGGGCGTTGAAGGTCATTAGGTCACGGCGCCACGGTGATGACGCCAACGGTCAAAGGTGTCGAATTTTTTGTTTCCACCGTTTTAGACATTTCGTTTGCAACGGTTTATTTATACCGAACCAACCAGAAGTCAATTTCTCTACAAAGATGAGACCCCTACTATTTGAAACTTTCAGACAGTGGATTAAGGAACTCCGCCGCAACTGCGTGTTGATAAGGCTCGTAATGACGCCAATCTGTAATAAAATAATTAATTAATCATGAATAAAACTCAGGCCAATGTCAATGTCGTATTTAAATTAGTTTTGACAGATTAAATGAGATTATTCAATTAATTTACATAGTTGGAAAATCCTCACATTAAAATTGCCTTATATTACAAGGTTGCCTGGCATTGTAAATTTCCAAACTTATAAAAAACATTAAACCAAACGGTATTTTTTTACTAATTGCTAATTTTATTTGCATATTCTACTCTCCTCAAATTTGCGACCAATCTCCCGTCTGAAAAATAAATCGTTCATATTTTTTCCACTTACCCTTGAAAGTCCTAACCAAATGCAGATAAATTCCGGCCTATTTTCCATCAAGAGCCCCACAACGTCTCCCTTCTGATAACCCGCATCTCGAAAATATTTAGCAACTCGGAACGTCTCATTTTGCACCTATGGGAAAATTTCCATGTATTCACCTAAAAGTCTTACACTTATTATTCTTAAAATTAGTTTGTATTACATACTTTAGCAAACGTCCAAATTTCATCCTCAAAAAGGAAACACGCCTTCGTCCCCCGCTTCTCCACCGTTTCGTCGAAATATTTGAACACAGTCATATTTCTCCTCACATCCAGAAATGTCCACACCGTGAGTTGTATGAATTTCGAAATCATGCTGGATCAAGGTAAAAAGTAAAATTTTTAGGGGTACATTTTGTTGCAATATTTAAATTTAGTCGACGCCACGACACCGTGGTTAATTTTGAACAAACGAAATATTCATTTTCACGGTCAAACTAAAGTTACCTCGTTGAATTAATATTATATGACCTACGTATGTACAATCTTCGTCATTTGCAAAACACCACTTAACCCTTTAACTTTAATTTTAAAATAATTTTTACGATGCAAATCTGAATTTCACGGCAATTATTTTTAACATTTAAATACATAACCAGCAAATTATAACTATCCCACTAGCTGACTTCCAGCCCTGTCAAAGCCAGAAAAGCAGGGTGCAAGAAACATGTGCCATCTAGCCACGCGTCCTACCAATGATAATGGCAGGAAGTATTTTCTCGCTCCTAGGAATGCTTCCTGGTCAAAATAATACCCAGTTCCAATCCAACAAGCTACTTTCTTCCGGTTATTTCCTGCACCTCTTTACTCGAACCCGAATTATTGTCAGACAAAGAATACAAATTGATTCAAGAATAAATACTAGATCCTTAACATCTTGTCGCATTATAATGTCGAGCAAGATATACTGACACGCACGTGACCGTGGCGGAAACTCTTTTTAATTAATTTGTTAAAAAAACCTTCATAATTATGAAGTATGACAATCAATCAACGTATGTATGCATATATTTCCCAAATAAGAATTTAACTTACAACACGTCGCGACGAAACGTGCGTCTCACGGCTTGAATTGTGTCACCATGCTGGATACAAAAACGGATCAAAAAACATGCCAGAATCAGGCACAAAATATACAAAGTTTCCATCCCGATTACACAAATTGTTTCCTTGTAAATACGAGCTAACTTTTCCGTCCCATAATTTATCCAAGCCTTCCGAGAACTGAATGAATACTCGTCATCTACATTGTCCTTCATTTTTCATACGCAGTGTTTTCCCAAATAATAAAAAAACCTGTCTTATCTCATTAATTGCTTTCGACACGCTCTATGATTTTATTTCAATTGCTTAATTGCCATTGAGCATGGCATACAATAAAGACATGCGAAATTTATGCACTCATTCACTTCGGATTCTGTACAAACTACGCAAAATAATCAGTTGTCTCACATTCCTAATGATGCCGAATATAATAATTTGTTTACTAAAACGAGAAGTATGTAGTTTACATGTATGTATATATGTACATACACTTTAAATTCATAACCAAATAAAATCCTGGACAATTCAGGCTTAAATACATACACACCAAACTAAAAGTGGTGGTCGAATTATGTAACTACAAGTGAATTAATAAAAATGCAAATAATTCTGCTCTAGCATTTTCATCCCTATGTAAATAAGTCATTTAAGTGGGTCATCTTTGCACACTTATCACACAAAAATGGGCAGGTAATTCCAAAGAGAACACATTGTTCAAATGTGCCTAATTTGGACGTGTGGAGTCATGGTTCCATGATTAAATAATGAGCGAGTGTTCATGAAATAATTATTATTGTGCAAATTTTTAAATAACAGGATGCTATAAAACGTTATCTAGTTACTTAACAGACCCAACTCTAAATAAGTTAAGAATTCAGCGTTGGATCAGGAAGATGATAAAACCATAAAATGTGTAATTTCCCTTCAACCTTGACCTTGATAATGTTTTGGTTATTACGGCTGTTGCATGGACAATAGAAACGCGCATATGAGAAAAGATGGATTTGCGAAAACATGTACGTAATTTCGGTGGACACGAATAAACAAATTAAATATGTACAAGGACCAATGCATTACACGTTTTCACAGCCGGAATTTAGTCGCATCTATGTATACATAAAATTTTTAGATCCTTGTAATGTAAATAAAATTCAATTTAAACAACTAAAAATCGGGTAAAATTCATTAAACCACTTTTTACTTTATTGCTTCTTATTAAGCACTATCCAAATTCCCACCTTTTGTTTGATCGGACAAAAACAATTATATATGAATGTCCAATTTATTTGCTAAGTAACGTTATTTTATTGAAGTATATAACGTTATAAAAAAACTAAAAATTTTTATGCATATAAAAGAACTCATTCCATCATACATAGCGCCTGTCGAAGGTATATTTAAGTTTCTGCATCGTTTTTAGGAGAATTTTTATCGGAAAAATTGTTAATGAAATTCAAAATTTTGGAATTTCACAGACTTATGTAAGTACAATACAATCTTGCCATGGCCTGGGTTTACTGCCTCAAATGAAAATATGAATTGCAACTTAGGAACCATGTATGTAGATATGAATGGATTTGTATAATCTGCAATTATTGATTTGACTAAATTATGCAAATTGGGCTGCCATACATACACAATTGAACCGGCAACTTCCCTTATCTCTCATTACTGACCACAAAATATTGGGTGCGACATGTTTCCACAATAATTGGTTCAAGTGTTGACCAATTATATAGCTTCTATTCTCAAAACAATGCAAAGCGACAAGTCTCACTAGACTTTCGGGGCATTCATAAACCCCTTCCCTAGTTTACCCGTCCCGTTGCCATAAGGTTCCCAGAATTAACACCCATCAAGTTCTGATCTGATTTCATTCTGACTTTTTTTAGCGATTTACAAAGTACAGGGTGGTTTAAATGTTTCACTACAATGCAAAATTTTATATAAGAAAAATCCGTAAATTTCGACAAAATTTTCCTCTGTAACTCACCAATTTTTAGAATGCTACATTTTTAAAGTTTTGATATCAGGGTTGAATGACGAAATAAAATATCAATTAGCTTTTCACATTGTAGCGAGATATTTAAATCCCTATGTACAAATTTCTTAGCAAATTAAATAAGGATGTATCTAGACCTACACACATAAATAAATATGTATTGGCATGCCGTTCTTCCGACGGGCAGAAAATTTAAAGATCTTCGCATTCGTACACTATGGTAATGTACATAATTACACCGTGTAAAGTCTGGTAGCGTCATATTTATAAATATACTCCGTGCTGATATTTGGGCTGTACTAACTTCGTACAAGATTGGCAATTGTATTTAATTAATTTAATTATTTACTTATTGTTTATTGTTTATATTTCACTGGTAAATAATTAATTTGCATAACAACCTCTGTGATAGATCCTGTACACAAAGTGACATTTAAATATTATGTGCTTCCATGTGGTATGTAGTTTCCAATGCAAACCAGCAGCATTACTATAATAACTACTACTAACTAATACTACTAATAACTAATACTACTAGCATAACTATATATTTTATGCCAAGTTATAGAATATCCTAATCGTTTACGACGGAAGTTGACATTTCTTGTTTAATTGGGGGAGGGTGTCGATATCCAAAAATCTAAAAATGTCCAAGTATTTAAGAACTTCACCTAGGCAAATTTCGTCGCAATGGTCATTCCACATCCCAACTACACTTTTACCAGCGACATGTTCCACTCTACTTTTCTGCCCTTTATGGAAATCCATCTCAGAATTTGTCAACGCCTCAAGTGCATTCCATTTGTGTTTGATAAGATACAGAAGCGAATTCGGAGGAGCACATCGGTCAGACAGATTCGTACCTCTCAGGCGCAGAATATAGTCTCCATGCTTTACGTGAGCGGAATGTTTGTCAACCTTGCGATCGGGCCACTGAGCCAAATCGAAAAATTTATGGGGTTCCCCTTCCTCATGATCTTCCTCTGCGCGACCATTGTCAGCTGGAATGTGGGATTGCATATTGCTCCGGCTCAAATAGTCAATTCATTTCTGGCCTTGGAGGACTATTTCGACCAAATGGGTACACATTTCTGAAGAAATTTAAAATGTTTATAAATATATTTTGTATTGATCATAGTACAAGTTTCGCAAAAAGTATCGCAAAATCTGACTACGCAGGAGTCGTACGAAACGTTCCATAAATTTAAACGATCGTAGAAGAATCGCAAAATATCGCAATAAAATCGTAGAAAATTCGTTTATTAATTATTTACATAGCTCGAATTAGCCATTATTTTCAACCTCCATGCAATTTATTTTTCTACTAGTAAAAATTTCCTCTGGAATATTCGAGACCACCGGATGATAAATTCATGTGTAGAAAACATTTCAGGAACTCAAACATTTAAATTATTTTCACATTTTCAGGACTCCCTCAACCCCCGTTATCCCTCGGGGGAAAGATAATGAAGATGTTCATCCCATTTATTGAGGTCTCCATCGCCAGTGTGGCATTTCTCATCCCGGTCATCTTAACCGTAATGCCATGCATGCCACCCTTCATCCTCTCAATGATGCCAAACTGTAAGTCAACCATGGCCTCAGGATCCTCTTGGGGTCTAGTGGGACTCGTGGTGCACATCGCTGAGACATGGGTTGCCCTCAACATACTGTACGCTGGGTCATTGTGGATCTTCTATATCCTCTTCGTGGGAACAACTTGCCTCACAAATTACTTGGATATTTTGGGATGGTAAGCTCAGTGTTTATTGTAAACCTCATTTCGTAGTTTTTGATGTACAGGGTGGTGTAAGTGCTAGGTTACAATGGAAAATTTTTCAATGAGAAAAATTCCCAAATCTCCATTAGTTACCGAAATTTTGCCTCTGAAATTCAATATTTTAAGAATTTTGTCATCAGTGTTCCATAAGTTTTGATAAAAATTAATAAAATTCTCAATCACAAATCCGAAATACGAATTTTTCCCATTGATAAATTTTCCATTGTTACCTAACAGAAGTTTATTTTTGTTACTATTTAGCAAAGTTCGCCAAATCGTGACTGGACATGACAAACATGGCTGCATCTTGCTCTATCGATGCATCCAAATTCTGGAGAAATCTTACAACGCCGCCATGATGCATGGACTCCTTCCCGCCATGATGTTTTGCTCACCCGCCGTCCAAGTCGTCGGCCTCTTTGTCTGCATCAGTTTCCGCGACGAGCTTGAAAATCCAGAATTTCTCGTGTTTCCTCTCATGGTCGTGAACGCTGCGATAAACAACATCGTCACTTTTACGATGGCGGCAGCCGTGCAGAATGCATCGTTCAAAGGGTTACTCGCCATTCGCCAGAAGGCAACGAAGCCGCAGAGACAGCCCACGGTGTCAAGAGAGCTTAAATCCTGCTCCCTAATGAAGATCCGAGTGGGCGAGGGCAGTTGTCTCGATCGAGGCACGCCCCTCGTCATACAAACTTTCTGCATTAACCAAACCGTCAGTTTGGCCGTTCTCCGGTCGTCCAAAGTTTAAATGTATTTATATTTGCAGATGTCAATATTCCCTGGAAATTCTGTGACAAAATATCCTTTGGTAGCTATTCATGTCTGTTCACACTCACTAATTCCTGGAGGATAAGTGAAAGAATCATTACTTAACTTACTAAGTGAATTAATGACGGACCAATATTCATTTTTTATTTTTGAACGTATAATTTTAAATTGTGATTTATTTAAATCTTTATTCAAACATTTATTTAATTCAAATGAACAATTGATGAATGTTTTATTTAAATATTGTTGCTGTTTTCCCCTTCTTTAGTAAATATGTAGATGAGGCAACTTAAAAATGCATACAGTAGAGGCTAATTTGAGGTTGTGTAATGGATGAGTAATGAATGTGGAATGACTTTTTTATTTTGAGTAAATGACCAACGAATGAATGATTATTTTCTCAATTTTGAATGAGTAAATATTTTGAAGCAAGTCAAATTTTCTTCAAATCTCATCAAAATTGAAACAATAAAAATATATAACTCGTGAAACAAAGCTGTTAAAGCATATTCCCTTTACATCGTACTGCAAATACCTTTTTCTCAAGAATACGCATTTGGTGTCAGTCAATGTATAACCTACTAGCGTATAAGCCCGTCTCCCGCCGGGCGAAATTC